TTTCTATTTTTGATCTGCCTTCCTCCCAGGGACCCCAGAGAAGGAAGAGTGATATAAGAATTATATCCATTTTGCTTAAGTACTTCTTCACATGGACAATTTCAATGCAGCCTTCAAGGAAAAGATGCTGCTATAGATGGAGTGTCAATTTGAAGCATATTATTATGTAAATTGTTATTAAATTGTTATTCATTGAATTTTACCCATTTTTGTATATTTAACAATCTAACCATCAGCAGTGTTGACTGAGGGCTTGGAGCTTTTCATTTATCTTTCACCAATTTAACTTCCAACCAAGCTGAGCCTGGGCAGGACTTCTATAATAGTTTTAATAAAATGTTATGAGCACCTCACCCCAACCATAACAATCCCTCACAATAAGTGTGAAATATTAATAATAATAACTTTATTCCAGCCTCTAGTTCATATAAAATAAGACCAGAGATTTCACACAAGATATCCTACAAATAAATGCCTACTTAAAAAACTTGTCTCTGCAAGGACTATGGTGACTTTATTGTCATGACTTATCATGGGAGAACCACTGTAAAGGTTGTCAGTTTATAAAAGTTCTATATTGCATCAGGCAAATGTTAATAAATATGTAACTTTCATTATATGGTATTAAATGTGCATTTCTGGTCTCAAAGTGAGAAATTTTATAGAAATTATGCATGGTTCATATAAATGTGCACCCAGTTAGTGTCACTTAACATCTAATGGCTTTTCTCAAGTCCTGATGTCTATCATAGATGTCTCATCAGATGGAACATTTACATACTTTACAATTCCAAATGGTTTTCTCCACTATGTATCTCCATGAAACATTATATATGAACTTTGAATCTATTCTCATCTGTATTCAGACCTCTACTGTAACTAAAACTTTTATGGCAGACTGCATAATTAAAGGGCTATATCCCAGCAAGCATCTTCATGTGAATTGTCAGTAGTCCACTCAAACATTTGGAATAAATTATTTCCAGTATACTCGAATGTCTTTTTGTTTATTCTCAAGTGTGTATCCTCATGTGAATCTTTAGATGTCCATTTCTAGTGAACATTTTATTACAAACTTCACATTTATATGGTTTTTCTCCAGTATGTGTCCTAATGTGCAGATTTAAATGTGAACTCTGACTAAACCTTTTCTCACATACTTCACACTTAAATGGCTTTTCAGCAGTATGCTTCCTCTTGTGGACATTCAAAACTCCACTCTCACTAAACATTTCATCACATACTTCACACTTAAATGGTTTTTCTCCTGTATGTATCCTCATATGCACTTTGAGAGTTCCACTCCGTCTAAACATTTTATTGCATACTTCACACTTAAATGGTTTTTCTCCTGTATGTATCTTCATATGATCATTGAGACCTCCCCTCTGACTAAACCTTTTATCACACTCTTCACACTTAAATGGTTTCTCCCCAGTATGTGTCCTCAAGTGCCGAGTCAGATTTCCACTGTAACTAAACATTTTGTCACAAATTTCACACTTCAATAGTTTTTCCCCAGTATGTATCCTCATGTGATTAGTACGACTTCCATTGTATTTAAATCTTTTATCACATATTTCACACTTAAATGGCTTTTCTCCAGTATGTGTCTTTGTGTGCTCTTTCAGACTTCCACTTAAACTGAACCTTGCATCACATACTTCACACTTAAATGGTTTTTCTCCAGTATGAATCCTCATGTGTGTATTCAGGCTTCCTCTGGCACTAAACCTATTATGACATACTTCACACTTAAATAGTTTTTCTCCTGCATGCATCAACATATGTTTCTTTTGAAGTGCACTTTGAATAAAACTTTTATCACATATCTCACACTTATATAGTCTTTCTCCAGTATGTGTCCTCATGTGCCGTTTCCTAACTCCGCTTTGTATAAACGTTTTACTACACACTTCACACTTATATGGTTTTTCTCCAGTATGGATCCTCATGTGTGTATTCAGATTTGAACTGCACCTAAACGTTTTATCACATACTGCACACTTTTTTGTTTTTTCATTAGCATGTCGCCTGATGTTTTGTTTCAAAGTTTCATTTACACTTAACATTTTGTTACATACTTCACCTTTACATAGTTTTTCTCCAATTTCCATCCGAATGTTTCAATTCAGACTTGTAACTTAACTTTTTTACGCATATTTCACTTTAACGGTATGTCTCATGTGCCAATGCAAAGTTACGCTCAGATTAAACCCTCTATGACATACTTCTCATTTGCTTATTCAGGTGTGCACTTTTACTATTACAGACACTTGTTCTGAAGAAACTAATGACAACGCCCTTCCGATTTAGCACATGGTAACCAACTCTTGCAAGTAATAAACTGGCCCTGTATGACTTCCTACTAAGTTTTCAATACCATCAGCTCATTTTGTCACTCACTATTTACAACGCCGTACAGAAGACTGTCCTCGCCTTTCCACGTGGATCATTTAAGTAACTTAACTGATTTTCAAGTCACAATTTTACCTAGTCTGGTTCCCTGCATATTATCATTTTTGTGTTGTTCCGCTATTGAGGCAGGGATTAGGTTTATGTACAAATTTATTGCCGGAATCAGTGACATAATACCAAAAAAAAAAAAAAAAAAAATCATAAAAAATCAAATATACGAGTGAAGTCAAAAGGGTTCATATTTTTCGATACCTATATTAAAACAAAGCATATTAATATTATTCACTTGACAAGAGAAGTCAATAGCAGTCCATAGTAGAAGTTTATGCACCCCAACCCCAAATTTATACCTGCGTCATGTCCGAAGATCAATTTTATCACTATGTGATGCTCACAGTGCAAACAAGTCCTTTTCCTAGATGACAATTCTACGAAATAGCGTGTACTGAAATGGCTGATGTAATTGAAAATAGTTGCCATCCAAGCTGTTTTTGAGATATTCTACATTCCCCATACCCATGTGTTTACTGCTATGCGAGGTTAGCTCTTCATTCTAGCTGACAATTAGTATTTCACTATCAACATCCTGCATAGAAACTATGCAAGATGTACATGCCTTACGTCAAATTCAAGAACAACACAAGCCCATAACATCTAGTTCACAAATATATCCATATCTTTAATTAGTAAACAATAATAATTGAACAAGTCACACCATTGCCTTCTGTGAAGAGATTTGTCAGGAGCCAATTTACAAAACTGGACCATGCCACATTACGGATTTGGGTGAAAATGATTTATGTCACAAGTTGTGCACATATCACATATTTAGACATTAAATAGTGCTACAGTATAAAGGTAAAATTTCTCTGCACAAAACCAAAACTTAAAACGGTTTTACACTTTAAGGAAAGAGATTCCTTTGCGGCCAAAAGCACCGCATTATTTACATTGTGAGTTAAGACTTACTGCATTTCTTGAAAGATTTCAAATTGTTTGCAACCCACAATGATTTTGGTATTAATTTACCACCCTAGCATCAGGACAGAATCAAAATTCCTGTACAATCTTTCATGAATGTCAAGAAGAGGTTTTGGAAGTTATAAATTTATAAGTAAATAAAAGAAATACTGTGTTAGTTGACAGTGACAGAAATGAAAAATTACTGCTATGGGAGGTTAGCTGTTCTTCCTAGATGACTATTGGCATTTCACTATTAACATACTGCAGAGTAACTATGCAAGCTGTATCGGCAATATATCCATATTTTTAATTCCTAAACAATAATAGCTGAAAAAGTCACATCATAGCCTTAAGTTAAATAATAAATTTTGCAGCGACCAGTTTAGGCAACTGGACCCTGCCACATGGAATCAGTACACAATTAATAAAATCCGGTTCAGTACCCACGAATGTAGTCCCAGTCTATTTTTATATCTCTTATTCCTGTCTTAAATTGGTGGTGATACTAGAGTTAGATTTTTGCACTCTTGGTAAGGATTTAAAGGCAATTGTGTATTCTTTAAAATGTGAGCTTATGGAGTGGTTGTCTGCGTGTACTTCGGCAACAGTGCACATTGAATAATAAGGTCATGGTGATGATCCGGAAGTGAAATCTGTGTTGCGTTGCCTGGTGTTTTGTTTACAATTCAGCCTCTCAAAATAATGCAGGTCAACCCTTGACAAGAACTAAACCGTGAAGTCATCTTTGAAGGTATTTTAGATTAACATATGATTTGTATTGATTGTCACACAGTGGAAAGTTCAGTACTGAGAAACAAATGTAGAGACAATATAGTAAAATTATTTGTTTTCTATGGCCACATATAGTAAGTAAAGTGAATACCGGCGCAGTATTGTCAGGTGATCAAAACAAATGGCCACAAACGTGGAGATAAGAATTAATATAAGCGCGACACATCTATTCCTTTAATATTCTGTCTGTTAGTGACACATTGTGAACTTTACTAATACACTAATTTGAACTTTAGCAATCGTTCAATATTAACCACCATTTCGGTCATATAATTTATTTTACAAGTAGCCGATGATGAAGGTAAACGGCACACACAACGATATTAAGTTGATATTGCACATTTAAAACAGTGTCATCTCAAAATTTCCTCGTCCAATCGATTCCTTGAAAGTGATATCAGGTGGTGTACGACAACCTATAGAGAGCCAAAGATTAAGACCAAAATATCACCATTCTTTTGCGGAGTTTGAGGATAACGATTGTTGTGCAAATATTGCATACTTTACACCATGTCATCTAAAATATTCTGGTTACAAGAAAATTACATGATCGATGTTACACGCACACATACAGATAGACAGACAGATAGATAGATAGATGGATGGATGGATGGATGGATGGATGGATGGATGGATGGATGGATGGATGGATGGATAGATAAATAGATAGATAGATAGATAGATAGATAGATAGATAGATAGATAGATAGATAGATAGATAGATAGATAGATAGATAGATAGATAGATAGATAGATAGATAGATAGATAGACCTTGTTGTGCATGACACATCAGACTTGGCCAGATATTAGGATCGAAATAGTTGCCTTATTAGTCGCTCCATTAGACTAATGGTTAGAGCGCCAGCCTCGGATGCGGAAGGTTGCGGGTTCGAACCCCGCCCGTGTAATACCAATGACTTGTAGAAAATGGTACTAATAGCTTTCTCGCTAGGCGCACATCATCAGGGTATTATTGTTAAGGCTAGCTGGCCTGGTGTCAAGATAATATGACTGGGTGGGACATCATGCTTCATGTTGCCACATTGTAGACTTCATAGCGACATGACTGAGAAAGTGTTAAAGATGTGATAAAACTCAAATCACACACATACACACACAGCAAGTCTATTATACGAATGGAAGAATATGACATCTGCATCACGTTCAAAAATTCATTTGCAATTGGTTCCTTGATACATTTAATGTCGGAATTAATGCAAAATGATATATGATAATGATTAAGACCAGAATATTCTCTCCTATATATGAATGAGGAGTAGGGCTGGTGACGACATTTAGTCAAATATGTCTCTTAGACTACAGCAAATGTATACTAACATAGGTGTATCAATCATGACAACCAAGATTCTGACATTAAGAATAAAATACCATCTTCTGAGAAGGGAGAGATAGACCAACAAGTAGTGTATATATATGTATGTATGTATGTATGTATGTATGTATGTATGTATGTATGTATGTATGTATGTATGTATGTATGTATGTATGTATGTATGTATGTATGTACGTACGTACGTACGTACGTACGTACTTACGTATATATATATATATATATATATATATATATATATATATATATATATATATCTATATGTCTATATATATATATATATATATATATATATATATATATATATATATATAGACATATAGATATATAGTGTGTGTGTGCAAGGTTAAACACACATTAAAACACCGTATAATATTAATGATGCTGAAATGGAAGCTGGAGCAATTAAATTTATTTTGAAGAACTAGTAAATACAATCCAGTAAAATGTAGTTACATATCTCATTCCTGTGAAATGCATTTTTGGTTTGATTTTCATACTTCAGCTGTTAAATTCTGTTCAACATTTGCTTGTTTTATAAACATAACTTGAAAGACAGTGGTTAATAAATGGTTAATAAAAATCCAGACCCTAGTACAAACATAATATATTGTCAGTTTCAGTAAAGTGCTGAGAGATTATTAAGAAAAATGTTGACAAGTTGAGAAAAAGTGTACTTTCATCATTATAAAAACAGCAAATGGAATGGAACTCTATGTTGATTTCTTTTACTGTCGCAATCATTCATTCAAACACGTGTCCTAAGTGTTTTCTTATTTTAATAAAAGTGTGTCATTGTGTTTAAATAAAATTACAAATAAAGACACCGTACGAAGTAGATTAAAGCATGGCTGAACTTAGGATGAATAAAATAATATGGACAGAAATAGTTCTGAGTTACTTTTATTTAAATGTATATACACAAATTTAACGCATATTACCATATGACTTGCTTACATATGCCTTTAGGATATGCAAAATTATTTGTCTTTCAGCATCATGAATAATATACTAGGCTTTAATGTGTGTTTGACCTTGCACACACACACACGATATATATATATATATATATATATATATATATATATATATATATATATATATATATATATATATATATATATATATATATATATATGTGTGTGTGTGTGTGTGTGTGTGTGTGTGTGTGTGTAAGTTTGTGTGTGTGTGTGTGTGTGTGTGTGTGTGTGTGTGTGTGTGTGTGTGTGTGTGTGTGTGGATGTGGCTTTTAATCCATGGGTCATGAAGTAAGAAGTCAAATATTGTATACAATTTCCTATTTCGCTTATCCCACGTCAAGAGCCATTAACTACTTGGAGAAGAAAGAAAACATGTTTTTACTTCAGGGTTTAAGAGATTGCTTAGTATGGAAGGGGTGACCTTAAAACTGAAGCTATTATATTTTAGAAAAACAAGTACTTTCTGTCCAAAATACTGGAGAAGGATCTGAATGATGAGTTACATTGGAGAGTGGCTGCAGAAACCAATGGTTGAAGGATTATTGCAACAGTCCATATGAGGCTGCTGAATTTGTATGTTGTGACCTTGATGCACCTAGGAAATTGGTATGAAATAGGGCAAAATCAAATAGATGCATTATGCACATGATTAAATACGAGAAAGCTGATGTATCTGGCTAAACTTCTCTTCACTTGATTGATAATTGAATTTGACATGTAACATACACGTTTGGTCGCACCTATCACACTCAGATACATTGCTGATTCATTTACTGCATCACCTGTAGGAAATAATACATCATTCGGATCAATCAAGTAAATTTCTACCCTGTCACCCTGCTTGATACAAATGCATTTAATTTTTTTTAATTAACCATGACCTCGCCAACGGAGCAGAAGAAAACTGGGCATGTGTTAAAATTCAAAAATGGAATGAATGACACTCCCCTCTCCTCTAGTTTGGGGATTCTTTTGTAATTAAACAAATTATTGAAGATTCTCAGATGAACTTGGACTTACATCAGGAACATAAGGATAATAAGGGTCTGTAGACACAAGAGTGAAATGCTTACTTATTCTCTAGTACAAAAATGACACCAACTGCTGCAGAGTTAGGGAATATTTTGAAACATAGAATAGTTAGGCCATAGCATTATAACAGCTAAAGACACTACTACTAGTAGAGATGGAACGATTAACCTTTACCAAAACTGGCAAAACAAATTAAGAAATGTTGTGCAGTTTACTTGTTCAACTAAATACACACTTGTCCAATATCTTACTTATATGCATGTTAGGTAAATTAATATAAAGTTTTGTACATTCTCCTTTGATTAATAATTGTGCATGTACAAAAGGGTCACTATTACAAAATTTGTGGCAGCATAGTGGTTGGTCCAAGATGTGATTATCATCATAAAATATCCATACATGACACACCATGCATGACACACCGTACATGACACACCATACATGATACACCATGCATGACACACCATACATGACGCACCAAGCATGACACACCATACATGACGCACAATGCATGACACACCATTCACTGAGAACAACTGAGACAGACAATTGTGATGGATTTGTTTTTCAGCTTTAATTTAATGAGCTTTTTCTATGTATTTGCATTCACCTAACATACAATTTTACTTTGGTAGTTATAAAGAGTTTCAAATGTACACTTTATAAAATCGGTGAACCTTTGCTGGATCTTATTCAGTGTGTAACATGATTTAATGTTGAATTATTATCCATCTGAGCTTCTGTTACCACAAACTTTTTATTTTTTATTTTCTTGGAAATAATTAACAGAGAGAGAGAGGACAAGATCTGTCATACAGGCTCAGATGTTGTAACGTTTCATTTTTGCAAGAAAAAATAGTCCCAGATGCCAGTTCAATGAATAATGTACGTTTATATAACCAGTATTAAAGTAGACTTGTTACAGATTAAAGTTCAAAGAGCAACTGTAATTTCAAATCAATGAAACATTACTATGTGATGTCACATATTTGGTTTAGGTCAGTCAAGCCATATTAATAAATTTTGATGAGATCTTTAAACAATGTTTAACAGATGTGTGACAATTTCACTACTAAGAATTCCAATGGTTCATGCATGGGATGATTACTGAATGCAGAAGTTCCAGATTTAATGTAGCCTATTTGTCTCCAGTTATTTGTTTTATTTTTTATTTGAAACGGTACACTAGACCTTAACATATTTTATTTGAAGTCATAATTGCATTAATATAATAGAAACATTACGTCCTTTGAGCTAGTTTACTATGTAAAAAGTCCTGTGGTTGAATACATTCTGTCAAATGGGAGAACAGATTATGCCCACATTCTTTTCTAAAGAAAGGTGAGTTTATTTACTCGTGTAAGTTAACTTTTAAGCCATGCTAACCATAGGGTGAGTCATTGTTACAGGTCTCTCCAGCCCCCTTTCCATTGAATGATACCCTTAATTCTATTTGTAACGAAACTTGTGAGATAAATTGGCAATATTTTGACATACATAACCTTTTAATGCCATATCACCCTCAGACAATTGATTTGATACATGGCACCCAATATGATGACATATAGTAATATTAAAGAAAAAGCTTCAAAAAGTGGTTATAGAAAATTCACATGCATTCAGCCAATCAGTAAAGAGAATAATGTGGAAGAAATTTATGGTTTTATTTGTAATAATCAGAATCACAGTGATATGTTAACATGTTGTTTAATAAAAAAAAAATATTAAAATGCACAGACTATGCGTAAAGTGTATCATGTTATTAAATGGCTTCCTGGCAACTACAAGAGGGAGGTTTCCTGAATTAATATTACTTTCAATTTTTAAAATCCAGTCTAACTTTGCGATGGTCAATTGTGGATTTGAACTGTTTAATGAATCTGCTGGTGTCCGCATACTTTTGTGTGCACTGAAAGACCTGCCTGAATATGGTACAAAAAGATTGCCTTTTTACTGATCATATGTCATTTTCCACTCATCATTCAACGAATTTCTCTGTGGCAGCCAACCCCTACCTCTGCATCAGATATACTGTCAGAATTATCAGAAATGTTGATCATAGTATCTACTGCTTTTTTTTATAGGGCCCAGTTCTTTAAGTATCTGTTTTGTCCTTTTGACAAGTTGTTCCATAATTTGATTAGCTGGTGGACATCTGTCTGTTTTCCACCTGATATAGACAAAATGACCATAGATATTTTGATGTGCTGTGCAAAAACAATATGACGCCTGCTGATGGTACAATCGGTGCAAGATCTCAAGAACACGTTTCGTTCTGTTGTTAGGAATATTTAATGTCAGCATGGCTACCAAGTAACCTGACCGTATCATATCTGTGTACCACATCCAAAAGCTCAATATACAGTAAACCAACCTGTAACACATTACGGTCATAAGCTGCAATAAATGTGAATAAAACATCAGACATTTGACCACTAACACATACAATATTGCATACAGTGATAGCTAAATGTTTATAAAATAGACAAGCGCATAATAAACTAGTGAAAGATTAGTCACTAGCTAGAGAGCATTAGACCAGCCAC